TTTTCCTCTAAGCAGGATGTGACGTATCACAGGAACAAGTGGTGCAAGACGTAGCTAAAGCTTGAGACTTCCTCTGCCCATTTCCTATATTCAAATATCAATTCAACATAATAATGCTAACCAACCCAGCATGATACTTTAGTCCCAGTCACAAAAATATTAACTGGTTAACGAGGAAAGTGTCTTGGTTAAACAAATTTATTGTTGAACTTTAACATGAGAAAGACTTAAGAGGAGTGGTGTAATAGGTGGTAGATTCAAGGAGAATACTATTGAGGGGAAGAAGAAGACTAGAAGGAACAATATTGCAGTATTGCAGTCTTAGACAATGCCTTTAAACAGCCTTGCCAACAGCCTTGAAATATTCCTACCAACAACCTTAAAACAATCTTACCAACAGCCTTAAAACAGTCTTACCAACAGCCTTAAAACAGTCTTACCAACAGGCATCTTATGAACAACATCTCTTCTTATGAACAGCCTTAAAACAGTCCTATGAACAAACTTAAAACAGTCTGATCCAAGCTTTAAAGCTGTCTAGCCAACAGCCTGAAAATCATCTGCTACTCTAGTGTGGTCTACTGCAGTATCTTTGTCTATGCTGTGTAATGAGAATGTAACGAGTAATCCTTATACTCGCTCCAACCTGATCTCTCGACTGAGACCTCGGCTGATGCTGTGGTTTACTTTACTTTAAGTTAGGATGAGGTAGACTCCATGCTAAAGTGTAAACAGCCAGGTAGACCACACACTAAAGTGGCACCAAACAATCTAACCAACAGTTAAAGCAGTCTTACCAACAGCTGATCAAAGTCTTAAATCAGTCTTAACAACAGCCTTGCAACAGTTTATCAAGAGGCACACAACAGCCCAAAGCTACATCTAGCATCTAGATGGACTTTTCAAATACCTTCTTTCCAGTTAGTAAAAGTCTATAGTAGGTAAAAATATAAATAGAACCACAAGGCTAAAAATTATCATATTACCACTTCAGGAAAAGATACTTTTCTTTAGTATAAATATTTTTGTAGAAGCAAGTGCTAGAGCAACCACATTCCCAATTGTGCTGACAGTCCAAGTGGGCTAGATATAAAGAAGAGGAACAGATTTAATAAAAGATTAGCTGTGCCATAAAAAAAATATATATACAATTAATAATTTAAAATACTGTATGTGGCCTCTTCACTTATTCCCGACCATAAACATTCTGGGCCTCTGAGCCACTCAGGTCGCTCAATGATGCAAATTTTTTTTTTACAATTATTTTATATTTTTCAAGTCACTTGTTGGGGTGTCTATAAAATTGGTGTCAAAATGTTCATAAATTAATTCTTTAGAGAATACAGTAAATGCAAAAACAAAATAATAGTTATACTAGATTATGTGAGACAGATGGATATAAATTTTATGAATGGCAATTGGATGGCGCATTTTAGCATCATTGAAACATTTACTACTGAATTATAGCTGGCATATTTTAGCAACCTTGGAATGCAAGAGTGTTAAATATACTCTTATGGGATAGAACAAAAACTGACAGGTTGAGGGGCTAGTACTCCAACTTAATAAGACAAACAATTTCTCCTTAATTCCTTATTCTTAACTTTAATTAATATTTAAACCACACTAATATCTAGCATAATGTATCGAAGGTCAACTGACCTGTATATTGTTGTGTATCCTTAGCCACATGTAATATAAAGTGAGACAAATAATAAACAATTCAAATTTTTTAACACGGAATAATATTCCTGTGTAAAATCAAGCACTGAATATGATGAAATACCTTTTCTGGTGGTCCTTCATGAGCTTCCCAAGTCAAACACTTGTATAGTCATGCCTCTGGAAGATTTACTATACCTCCGAGGCCCACTCTCGTCTACCAAAAGTCACGATCAATATCTCTCTCTGATGTGGGGTAAGCTTGAGGATCAAAGATCAACCAAAAACCAAGGAAAAAACACACCAGAAAGTATACGCACAAAAAACAAGCAATTACTTGAAGAAAATGAGGTAACTGAGCCAAACATTACCACTCCATGGGACAAAAGGAAATAGGAATGGGCTAGGATGCTACTGAGTGCCCATCAGAAAAGGGCCAAAATATATAAAAATTAAAATAAAGAAAAAGAACAAATAAGGAAACAGAATAAGCAGTCAGGCCTTATCGATGAGAAAACACAAGACGACGACGGCCCACACCTAGTCACTCTCTCATAAAACCAGCGTTGAATGTAATGAAACACCAATTTCTAGGTGAGCTGGCTTTAAAGGACACCACAGTTTCAAGCAACCTATCCTCTGAATTGACAGTACGTTTTAATACTAAATGTAATAAGTACATTTCCTGACTGGTTTCAAGAAATGACCACAGAACTCCCCAATAATGTAAACATACAATGAAAATTTCATGAAACTAGCGCCAGCTTGCTTCAAAGGCACCTGGAAGCAAACATTGGGGAAAAGCCTCACGCAGGAAGGGGTAACAGGAATCCCCTCTGCAATAGAAGACCTTCCACAGCAGACATGAGGAACCATAAAGGGCCAAAAATGGAGAAATGAGCCCTACACCGACTCCTCACAAAGCTCTTGAAACCCGACCAAAGAGCCATGGGGGTGAACCGTCGTCCGTGCCCATCACTCTGGACAGAGTCCAAGAGAGAGACCCCCAAGAAGGGGCTGACTGGAAAGAAGAACCAGAAGCCTCGGCTGTGGTTCTTCTGGTTCTCTGGTTAAAGCCAGCAGTGGTTTGTTTTGTTTCACCGACTTTCTGGGTGCCTTCCTCAGTGGTGGTATACATGAATAACTTAACATATAAATGCCACTGCAGCCTGCACCTCTTGTAAGGGGAGGCAGGGGGGGGGGGCCAGGTTTTTGCTCCGTTCCTCAGTAGGCCACAGAACTCCGTGACTGATGGGAGCTAGTAGTATGAAACACAATCAGAGATAGTGACTTCGGGGAGCTACAAGGAGCTTACTCCAGAATGAGCCCTAAAATTGAACATGAATTGTGACGAAAATGAAAAAAAAAAAAACAGAAAAGCAGCAAAGGTGCAAAGGCAGACTGCCAGCTGACTGAAACCAAAATCCATAGAGATGGCAGAAATTGGTTTATTAATTAATTAGAAATTTTAGAAATTATTATTAGAAATTAATTAGAAACAAATTGGTTTATTAATTAATCAGAAATTAGAGATGGCAGATGGCAGAAAAACATGGACCAGAAAAACCAGAAATCCAGGGCCCAGTGCCCCCTGGGTTACCAAACCTCAGGACCAAAAAATCCAGTTGGAAATACCCAACATGAGATTGAGACCCAAGCAGAAACCCAAGGCTCTAGCTGAAATAAAACACTTCCCTGGTGACCAGGACTACCTAAATTGATGGGACACCCAATCCTGAGGCCAGAGGCCAAAGCAAGCAATAAATAAGAGGCACACATCCTAGCCAGTCCAGGTTAAATAAACTGGAGAAATAGGGAAAAACACCCAAAAGTCAAACAGCACAGGGGCTACTAGACAAGGAGGCCAGAGGAACATCAAGCTTGCAGACCTACAGGCAAATAGATGCCACAGCTACAGCCAGACCTACAAGACAACTGCTAATGTCAAGGAAAGCCAAGGCAAAATAATCGAGACAGAGCTCAAAACTCACAGCAGAGAAAGCCTCAGGGGTTAAGGTAGAACTACTGAATATGCAACCCAGGAAACACCAGTTACACAGCCTGGGAACCAATGGACAGAGTCCAGGATCCAAAGGGCACATAACCAATAACCAGAAACAACTGGGTACCCAGCTTGGCAATGACTGGGCACCTAGTTCATTAACAACCATACACCCAGACTCCCTGGATATAACCAATTCTACAGCCCAGGGACCACCAGGCATGAAACTCGGGAAACTATGAGCATATAACCTGGGAGCTGGTGAGCTTACAGCCCGGGAACCTCTGGTCACTTAGCCTGGTAACATCCACGCACATGGTCCAGAACATTTAGCCATACAGCCCAGGAAACATGTTGATTACAGCATGATAAAGTTCCAAGCACACACAGCTCAACAACATGCAGGCATACCACTCAGGAACATCCTGGAGCAGTGTGCAAAACATCTGGAAACATATTCCAGGAAGAAACAATCACACATGTTACATGTTATGTGATCCACATAACATCCACATAGCCCAGTAACAATTGGGCACATTTTCCGGGACCATTTGAAAACACCCTGGCAATGTGGGAGACATAACACACACAATCAAAAAAAAAAAGATAAAGAAAACAACAAAACAATCTCCCCAACAGAGCTAATGTTCTAAGGATAATAAAATACTACTTTGCTGATGGCCAGATGAGTAGTGATGAAGGGGCAGGGTGGCTGGATCTCCAGAGAACCTGGCTATATAACAGTTAGGGCATTTAACCCATGGGGGAAAATGCATTACTTTTTACCTCAGGGTACCTAATTTTCTTTAAGTAGTTGCTTATTTTATTATGTTTATTTTTTCTTGTGGATTTTTCTCCTTTTGGATTGATCTCTTATCCTCTAGTTCACTTCACCCCATAAAAAATGCTTGATTCTGGTCCAGACTTCCAAGGGCGATAGGCAAGGGTGTTCTTGCCTATGGAAACAGTCCTCCTTGCATGCCAATTATGGAACAGAATATGTTCTCAAAATTCAATGTATGGCAATCCTTACAGCAATGGCTTCATTCAATTGTTCACCATAGTTGTTTTTCTTTTGTACTTTTGTGTTCTTAAGCAGTTTCACCATTTGATTCCAAATGGTCCTCGTGGTTGTGAACCATTTGCACCATCTGGGTACATACAGTAGCAGATCTTTCTTGTGTGTTCTTGTAAACACTGACACTAACTTTTAATTAATTCCCCATATTTATCAAACACTTGTACAATTGCTATCTAGACTGTGCTTACCCTAAATTCTGATGATAAAAAAATTATTATTTCTCCATATCTTGTCCACATTGATGACATAAAATAGTTGTAACTAAAATATGAATCATTGCATATTTTAACTTAATGACCACATCTCTTACTCATACTTTAAGAAAACCATATACTGTATGTGCAACTTTATATATGGACACAGCCAAGGAGAATAATCCTATGCACCATGCACCTACAAGTTTACTTACATTGTGTATACATACATAATATATTGTAAGTCTTGTAAAGGAAACTGAATAAACCATTACTTGATGCAGTTGTAGATGATCCATGGAAGAACAGAAGAGGTGGAAAAGACATTTTTACTATTTTCAAGCAAGAAGAATCTTAAGCAAATGTTCAAACTCAGATAAGAAAAAATAATGCTGGAGTAAGTGAAGATACTGTAGTGACATACTATAGTAAGAAAGCCCATACAATTGAAGCTCTTGCCAGTAGTTCAACCATATACCACAATGTGAGTGACTTAAGCTTAAAATAATAGTAATTTGCACAAGGTAATTAAAAAATTTCTATGGAGTTTAAATACATGTCCTAAAATTGCAAGAATTACAGTATATGTGAGCTGTTAACTTTAAGAACATGGCAGAACGAACTATGCCAAAATATTTTTTTGAAAACAATCTTGCTAAATTTTATGAATAGATTACCAAGAGTTAAATGTACAAATCGCATTTTATTAAGTAAAATATAATATTACAATGTATTTGAGTTAAATGATTAATTACTGTTGGCAAACGTTTCAGTTTCTCACAAAGATTAATGGTCAAGTTTTCAACAACTGCAATTGTCACTGATACTGGAAATGTCTTATATAATATTGTGATCAAATTCCAACTCATTTGTTGTGATTATACAGTATGTACATTAACAAACACATACACAACTTAAATAATGAATTACAAAACCACAATATTTAAAACTAAAAGGGGGAAGAGAGTACAAGAGCCACATACACTACGTTGGCCCACCTCCACAACAGTTACCAACACCACCACCTCCACAACAGTTACCAACACCGCCACCTCCACAAAAAGCACCAACGCTGCCACCTCCACAAAAAGCACCAACACCGCCACCTCCACATAAAGCACCAACACCGCCAGGTATCCCAGAAATGAAGGGAAAATTCATACTTACGCATCATTATTATTGTACTCTGTGTTGGCATTTTCAGTGGTAGGACATTTTGGAGCAGCAGCAGGGCTATATGAGGAAGGGATTCAAGAAGTAAGAAATAAATGGAAAATAAAAAATGGCAAAAGAAAAAAATATATATATATATCCAGGAAGTACTGTATGAAACAAAAATTAAAAATGAGAATAAAAACTATAGTATAAAATGATAGCAAAACTAAAAAATAATAGTAAAACTAAAAAAAGTAAATAGGAAGAAACAAATATAAGAAACATAACTCAAACTAAGAAAAGATGCTAAAACTACAAGTAAAGAAAAGATAGAGCAGATGCATGTTGCATACAACATAATGTGATGAAACAAGAAGGAAAGACACAAGAGCCAGGCTCTTATAAAAAGTAAAAGTGTAAAAGGGTGTATTTGTACACGGGCAAACACAGCTACCAACTTCCCAAAAAACTTCACTCCTCACACAACACTCTACAAAATAACCTGTACTGTGAATGTTCTACACGAGCAGTAGTCTACACGCTAAATTCTCTACAACAGTAAATGTCTGCAGTGCAAATTACTCTATAAATTATGGAATAAATAAAGTTTACACAGAAAAAATACATTTGGTCAGTTTTCAAAATTGAAGCATTGTATATTGAGTTCCATATTTATTGGTTTTGTATCTAAATTAATTAATAAAGATTTTAATTATTATTTATTTAGGGCCAAGTGTATAAAACTAAATTATTATATGGCAGGAGCAATAATCAAAATAAAGTAAAAGTACTTTACAGGTATTACAATTTACTGTTATTAAATTTACTGAAAAACAAGAGTGAAGCTGGTCATCATTTAGGTCAGATACAGTAGTTCAGATTAAAAGTAACAAAGTATTTAAGAAAATACACATAAGAAACAAAGTTATTAAGAAAATATACAATAAGTAACAAATGAGATTCGTTAAAACACGAACACACCGCCTCTACAAAATACTAACACCCGGTAAAAGAGAAAAAGTTAGCAAGACAACTGGAAAACAACAACTCATGGTTCAGCTTTCTTCTTATATCCACTTTAGGGAAGACAAGCTTATATTATATACAGCAAGAGTAAGTGACGCTTTGTACCCCACACAATTATAGTAATTTGCAATGTGCCATTTAAACAATATACATAGTCAAGAAAATATTAAAATTTAACAAAAATACTATCTGCACTAGTTAATACATACAATGAATGTAGAATTTGGATGTCTTTCAGTCACCATATTGAATGTCATGTGAATACTCTCTCCTTAGCAACTGCAACCAGGTGACTTAATTAAACTGCATCACCACATTTACATAATTAAGTCACTTGTTCATTTGTTATATTAAGTGTTTTATACGGTGGTAAAATCACAATTATTTCTAAATAATTCCTTTTTTTTGTAGAAATTCAGTAAATACACCAAAGATGAATGGCCAAATTTGAGTGTATAAATAAAGCACAAGAAATATAAAACTAGGCAAAGAGAATATTTTAAATATTATTTGTATGAATATGTAAACAGCCAGAAGTACAGACATTAATATGCTACTGTACCATTGTTTGATTTGTAGAAAACAAATGTGGAAGGATGAGGATAACCCATTACTATATTACCGCAAGATTATGCGAAAAGAATGGGGGATAAGAAATTAAAAATACAAGATATCAGCTGAAATTTAACATTTCATATTAAATACTAGTAAGACCTGGTCACCAACAGGATATTACAGGAGTAAACAATGCCTGAAGTCGAGTTCTTGAATTACTACTTTATAAAACCCAACTGTTAACTACAACACAAACAACATACCTCTCAACACATTACATATGAAAACAGTTTGTCTGTTATTCCTTACTCTTTTTGTTCTTTCTTGTCATTTACTGTTTCCTCAATCCTGCTTCTCCTCTTGTGATTATCTAATGTGGGCACCATTTTTAAATCTATTTTCTTGGAGCAAGCAAGTGATAACCACAATATTACACATCATACATAAAAAAAAATTAATAAGTCTTTTAGTAAATGATCTGAAAATTCTTGCTGGGTAACTGAGTTCACAGGTGTGACTGGCATTAGACTTCCAGCCAAAGACTGCAGTCATTAAAACTTACAGGTGTTGCATCTAACTAAAAGGCCTAAATATTACAACCTTCTCAGTAAGAAGAAAGGGAATTGCCAATATAACAAATGATAGAAGAATTGTGTTTATTAACCATCTCCCTGCTTTGTGCGCCCCTTGAGGGACTTGAAGTAGAGGGGGGTAGAAATAGCCTAAGCTACTCTATCCCTTTCAAATGTATTTTTTCTTGTCTCAATAAACATACTTGAACTTGAACTCCCTGCATCAGACACACTCGAGGGACCAACAAGCAGCAGACATTCCTTGCGAAAAATGAAATTTTCTAAATACAATACCATACTAAGAAAGTTTCCCCCTTTCTGCAATGTTTGGCCAAACATCTGATCTTCTCAACATGAGTTTTGACGTGGTGTGTACACCCATCTAACAAAGACACATGTAAATGTCACCTATTGTGCTTCATTTAAAAAAAGAAAACACAAACACCTATTCTACAAAAATGTATATATCATTCAGTTATTTTAATGTTGAAAGAAATATACTGTACATATAATTACAAATATTAAGGTTAATTTATATGTAGGGAAATAGTTGAATTTGTTTGTCAAAAATATTTTTGGCACTTATGCTTACTGACTGAATTTATGATATTCTTAATCTTTGGAAACCTTTTTTGTTTAAGATTTTTTATCGTATATTTGAAGAGAGTGAATGTTTTTCATAACATAAATGAACTAAAATAGATTTTCAACCCTTCTATTTTGACTCAATTTCCAGTCTGGTTACCATTAAAAGCTGAAGTAAAAAGGGTTAATAAAATAAATAAAAATATACCTGTAATCTACAAAGACAAAAGAAGTCTTGACCCCCTTAAAGAGTGGTTATCAACATACGTTGATGTAAACTATTATTGTCTGGGTTTGACAGCAATGATGCAAATATGGATATAATAGCACTAAATGGATGTGCTTTCATTTCATGATCACTTGCTATATAGATGTGGTTATCACTGCAAATGTTACTATGCCAATGCAGTAATCATGGTATAAAATCCCATTATAATTACATGATTGGTATACCATTTAAGTTCAAATAGTTTCCACAACTCTCTATATCATTGTAATGAAGTATACCAGCTCAATCAATCACCATTTGAACATAACAGTAAACAAACAACAGAAGGCCTATTAACCTATATGAGGCAGCTCCTATTTATAGTGTGGATATAAATAGGAGCTATGTCATATGAGGATATACATAGGCAACAGTTCCTATTTATATGCTCCCAATTTATATGCTCACATGTGGGCCAATAGACGTTTTGTAGTTCCCCCCTAGTTCTTACTGATACCAGGTAAAATAACAGTACACAGTAACTACTTCGTGGTGAGTACCAAAATGTAGTGATATGCCACCAGAAACTTGACTTTTGTACTATATACACATATATACATTTCTTGAGACACAAGTTTTAAGCATACCATAGTTATTAACATAGTGTTAGCTTCTTGTCCACATGAAATTGAGTCTTACCCAAGGATGACAATACCCATACTATCAGTAGGCCTATATATAACCCACCTAGCCCTTACCATTTTGAAGACAAAAAGAAAATAAGGCTCAAACCTGATATAATGGCCAGTAACAGTTGTTCTTGAACTCACCTAGTTGTGCTTGCGGGGATTGAGCTTCGGCTCTTTGGTCCCCGCCTCTCAACTGTCAATCTACTGGTGTACAGCTTCTTGAGCCTACTGGGATGTATCATATCTCCATTTGAAACTGTGTATGGACTCTGCCTCCACCACATCACTGCTTGTGGTTGGATGCAAAACATTTTTGACAAACAGGTTAAGATACCATAATGGAGAGATAGGAATGTCCTGAGAAATGTGCGTGACAAAAGCTGTGTTCACTCCACACAAAACGAAGTGTTCCCAAATACTCACTGGAAAGCCTTCACCACAACAAATAACAACTGTTACATATGAAACTTAAGCCAACTAGACTGATTATAAAAGTGAATCTTACTAGAACAATAATTCTCACTAAATGAGAAATTATTGTGAAAAATTTAAAGCATTAACTTTAAATTTAGTGAATAATCAATGAACAATACCCAGCTGGGTATTCAAATAAACAATATTTAGCTGGCAAATTGTAATGTTATTTCTGATGGATGTACAAGTGTACATATTTGATTTTCAATTGCCTCTCAAATAATAGGAATAATTAAATAATTACCTTAAAATAATCTTACAACAGCACTACACAAGATCATTTAGAATTGTGGTATTCTATACATTCACTACCTTATGAAATTCTAATATTGAAAATTGCTGGTTTGAATTGAGTTACAGTTTGTATAGTAAGCTAATCATGCCATTAGTACTCTCCCATTCATCTAGGCTCATCAGCTAATGATTCTTCTCTGACTAACTATACATATTTTGTATTCCCTAAGTGCTCTGAGTGGTGGATATCATCCACTCAGTGCTCATTCATTGGATTCAATATTGCTGTAATTTTATTTCATGATTTTCATTGAAAAAAATATCACTTTTATGCTATGACTGCACCAAATTCATAATAACTATCATTTTAAGAAATAAAATAGTTAAACTAATTAAAAACCAACTATATAATTTATAAAAAAAAGACAAAAGTATATTTATATAAAGAATTAAGCTAATATATTATGCATTTAATATATCAATATAATATAAAGTTTACTGCAACTAAAGTGATACATTATGCACAGGCTACTTTAAATAAATATATAACTAATTTGATTTCCAACAAAATATTTGTATGTTAACCAAAATCATAATAGAATGATACATTAAATTAATGAGGCATGAGTTTGATAGCACTGTATTGCTCCAAAATTACACAAAAATTACTTTGTTTTTCAAAACAATTTGCCAAAAGCACATAAAAAAAACTAAGCTCTCTTAGATCTACTTGGCATAAGTTTTCCTTTATATTGTTAAGCACTCAGAAAACACACTCAAGATCACTTCACTCTCAAAACGTCAACATACCTGCTCACTACCGACACTGGTCTGTCTTCTGGCCTATAATACACGTCAATAATTGAGATGTGACACACTCAGGCATGCTAATTATTTAAGCTTCACAATAGCTAGCTCGAAAATTAGAAAATATCATTAGCCATCTACAGCAGCATATAAATATATCGCAAGATTTTGTTAGTTTCACAAAATAAATTTTAGCAAAGGTTAAAAAAAAAAACTGCTTAACATGCACTAGCAAAGAAAAAATAAAGTATAGGAATAATAAAATATATAAAATATTTGCATGCAATATATAATTATATTGCTCAAATTTCTATAAACTATACTGAAATGACAGTTAAGGACAGAGACTTGCAAATCATCAACAGTTAAATAATGGCTGGACTATAAATTTAAGCTAGACCACTGATCCCTCATTTTATAAACTACTTTACCATGATTACAAATTAAAAAAACCAACATAGGAAACTTAACATACCTCAAGAGATAAATACTCTATATCCAAAGCTAACAAGGAAATATTGCACCATGATTTAACATGGTTTACAAAACAACAAATTAAGCGCTACCATTAACGATATACTGTACTCCTAATTGAGTTAATTAAATTTTATAATACCAATTTAGATTAAAGGTTAGCAAGCTTATAATGTGATATTGCCTTGGTTAAATACTCTTCAGAATTATTTAGTTGATAAACCATGGACACTAAGGAGCCTCTCTGAGATACACACAGTGGGTACACTAAAGCCCAAGGTGAGCCTAACCTACACTCTCTTATGTAAGTGTATAAACCCTACACTCCATTAATGTTAGTATTTATGTTCATATACTATAAAAAAAGTCATATAAACCAAACATTCATAGTTTATGGTACTAGCTCAGAGGAAATAAGCCTTTTATATTCAAATTACAATGAGGGAGCGAACCTATGTCTGGGATGATTCCAGACGCGCCTTAGTCGACTGCACCACAACATGGTAAACGAATTGCAACCTAGTGTGCTATTGCCTTCAAACGGCTCCCGCAGCTTCTCCGAAGTACAGATCATGTTCTGAAGCTCTAAACCAGAGCTTGGGTGCATGGGGAATTGTATAAAACCCCGGTCTGTGCTTCGGAGAAACTGCGGGAGCCTTGTGAGGGCAGTAGCACTCCAGGTTGCAATTCTTTTATCATGTCATGGTGCAGTCGACTAAGGCTAATCTGTGATCAAATTACAATCATTTAAAGGACTAGCTTGACAAAATCTACAATTAGAGGAAACACTGAGTATAATTTTATAATGCTCATTAGACAAGCAAATCATGCACCTACCTCTGCAAGGCTGCTAAATCTAGGTATTTGTTCAGCTCATTTTAAATCAGGAATATATATTGCATCAATATAAAGCATAGCATGCATGTATATATGAATGATGTTTTTATGTATAGTAAGCATGAAGAAGAGACCTGTTAAGGTTCACCCACAAAATATATTTAGGTCCAGAAGTTACAGGTTTATATTCATGAATTTGCTTCATATGTCATCTTGTAGTTTTAGGCCTAAGCTCCAAATGACCCTGAAAATTATGTTGCTGTATGCCAAAGAATGTGAGCAGAAGTCAAGATGACAAAGAGCATCAGAGTGGACAAAGTAGCTCCCCACTCTTCACCCCATGCCTATTTTGCCCTTTACCCCCCCATGCCTACTTTGCCCTTCCCCCATGTTTCCTATTTTGAAAACCCTGAAAAAATGATGTTAATATAATTATAAAACCTTTATAATAACAACAAAAGTGTATATAACAGAAACAAATATATTCAGTATGAATAGCCTCAGATCAAGGGGGCCTACAACTGCCCAAGCTCCAGAAAGCAAGGGCAGACTCCTATGGCTGTGTGGATTGTAAGAGGAATAAATGAGGAACAGAAGAAGCTGGAAGTGGTTAAAGCCTTCAATGAAGGAAAGTTTGATGTGCAAAATTCATGAGATTCAAAGATGAAAGTAAATTATAAGTGGAATGGAGCAAATGGTATATGAACAAGAGTATGAGAAAATGAGAAAAGAAAACAGTATGCCTATTAATGAATAAATAATGGCATTGGGCAACAAATAACTGTGTATTGTAGCTGAAGGGGCTTGAGTGTGAAATTTTAATTTACAAGAGTATAGGTGGTGACTGTGACTGCTGCACGATTGCTGCACAAAAGTGTGCTGGTGCAGACTCTTATGCATGATTCTGAAATAACACTGAGGTATATCCTATCCTATCCTGGTTTGAACATGAAAATTCAAGAATTAGAGAAGAAATTGAAAATCTGAAAGCATGTGTAGCATTAAGAAAATAAAGCAAAAACCTTACCACCTTAAATGTCATGGGCTTGTAGAATGAATGGATGATGGTGGGTGCTCCTTAAGAGGAGGAGAAGAGAGGAGCCGGGAAGATGAGAGGACACGAGTAATTGTGTAAAAAATTGAGGACAGTGTGTGAACAACACAGTGAATATAGTATGGAATAAGGCTGGGTGGAAGCATTTATAAAGAAGAAAATGAATGTACAGTATGTGCTTATTCTACTCCATATAGGACAACTCATGAATGGTACTGTGCTCTCATTCATATGAAGCAGTGGGTTGTTGCTATGACTACTGGAGAGAGGTGGTGTTTGTTCATACATGATGCTCTGCTGTATAATGTAAATGAGGAATGAATAAGTTATACTTCATATCATTTGCATGTATAAATATGCAAAGTTTAATTTACAATTTTCATGCAAAAATAAAGTTCAAATAATAAAACAGCAAGTTTTTTGAAAATTCTAAATATGTGAAAATTCAGAATGTTTTTTGCAACCAATTATCTTTGACTTTTTGAGGTTGTACTATGTGTACTGTTACAGTATGTACTGGGTTATCTAATACAAAAAACTAAACTTCATAAAATCAAAAAGCTATTTAAATCTTCCGTGTCAAGTACAGTATGCTCAGATTCACTTCAAAATCTACCACACTTGTTGCCGTGGTTAGATCCACCATGTGTGTGGTTGGAGCCCCGTACAGTAGGGATCGTCTCTGAGATACACACAGTGGGTAATCCAACTCCCAAGGTGAGCCTAACCTACACTCCCTTAGGTGTGTACTCATTTATGCTCATACTCATACTGTATACTATAAAAGAATGATTATGATTATTTTATAAATATAAAATACACACACACACATATATTAACAGCAAAAAACAAAAACTTACCTTTTATATTTCTGTTATATCTGAATAAGTGAAGATATAAAGGTACATCAGGCATTAATCTGTTTGTATTAAGTAACAAATAACTCACTCTCTTTGTTATTATTAACTGTTGAAATGTCTTACCTGGGGATTAGAGGAAGGGGTTCACCCTCTTCGTCTATGAGAGTTCCGCCAGCATTCAGAAGGTAGCGGTGATGAAGAGAGAAGAGTGCATGACGACACGTGGTTGGGGTGTCCTTCTCGGCCCCATCCCCATTTTTGAGCGGAGCAAATTCATCTTCACGTATTACTTCCCACACTGCTAAGGTGCTGTAGAATACAGAATAATATAAATAAATTACTTCTTGATGATTATAAATGTATTACAGTGGGATTCCAATTCTATATGAAAATTTTATGTGACTCACTTTAACTTGATAACATAATTATATCTGTTAAAACATTATATGTCTAATATGATTGTCTACCACGAAGGTTAGTCATCATCATAAACCAATATCCCATTGTTATAGGGTGGAGAGGTATTAACTTGGAAATGATGGGAAGCATTATCTTGCAATTGCAAAAATATAATTTAGACAACCATCTATTCACTGTATTTTACACAATGCACAGCATCATAGAGTACAGCACCACAACACAACAGCAAATCATCCACAGCAGCTCCCTATCACTTCATAAGATAAATCGTATGCTGCTCCTTTTGTAAGTTCTCAGACAAACATATCACATGCACATTTAAATCCAAAGAACAAGATGACCATGAGAAAATATTGAGGATCAAACCCGCATCCCAATGGGATTGAATGTGCATTCAGTTCATCTTTTGGCAGTGTGGCTGCCTAGCCTTGTTACTTATAACTGGTTGAACAGACCACAAAGTACTGACAATAATGCACAGAAAAACCAAGAAGATATTTTAATTCTAAGATTGTATAGAATATTATCAATAAATTGCCTACTTTCAACTTTGTGGTTTTCTACATCCCTACTTCTTTTCATGTACTGTATACACCCACTTTCCTCTTCCTCACCTCACAGGCTCAATACCAGCTCCTCACATACTTAATCCCCACTTTCTCCCATACTCACATACTCACTCCCTCACACATTCACTTCCCACTTCCCCCATACTCAATCTCAGTACCTATGATTACTGAATATAGTAGTAGACATCCATCAGTCTCAGGAGACTATAGAGTTGCGCTCTGGTTGTTGGTACTGAGATTGAACATAACAGCACTGTAATTAAATAGCACCAAAATATAAAACTCACTTTGAGAACTGAAAGACATCAAAGACAAACTTCTCCATCTTGATGCCATTAGGCTTTTCTGGCTTAATGCTCTTGCCATCAGAGTTGACCATGACAATCTTCTTCTTGGCCACGTGATGATGCATGCTAGCTTCATAGTCACTGCAAGAGACAAGTACTGTAAATGCTAGAAAACTATTTATGGTACAAGCTTTGATTCCCAGCTTAGTCAGAACAATGACCTGTTCAGGAACAAGTTGCTCCAGAAAGTATTGATAATATAACTTTTTAAAAAATATACAACACTGCTTTCTTATTTTTGCGAATCTCATTAGTTATTTTTATTATTTTAAACTGTTGAAAAGTTTGGAGAAAATTATGATCATCAAGCTGCACTGTTTTACATAATTTACACAACTTTAATTCTTCCATTACGACTATTGGATCCACCCGAGAGCATCAAAGTCAACCTAAAAGACACACCTCTCAGGCTAATCCCATGTGATGTGTTTTTACTTTCCACAAAAGTACTTCTGTAACCTCTACTGATCAATGATATCAGTCCTGTTTTCCCATGCTATTCCCCAAGTTGTATATTCTTTTAAGTACAGTATGATGATTTTATGGTAAAGTGGAAGCTATACGTATAGGGAAAGCAAGCCTGCAGTCCTGCCTCTTGGATAAAGAGGATACAACTCTTGGATAAAGAAATTAATGAGCCAGTCACAACATTTGGTTTTAACCTTTTTAATTCAAACAGATGGTTGTTTAGATTAATAAACTAAACTTGAAATCCCAAACTGACTAAGAAAAAATAACACACTACAGAAGGAACAGAATGGATAAAAAGAAAATGCTCTCAAAAGGGGTTAAACAGTGCTATATAAAATATATATCAATTTATATATTCATTGTACAACTCTAACATGTAATACTTAGAAAGCATATTTTTAGGAATGGCTACCATTATACAGTACACTAAACACAACACTACACAAAACATATAAAACACACCACTCACTGAAAACTCTTAAAAGGGATGAATGATACAGGTAATTAAGCATGCGTATGCAGTATATTGTTAATAGTGATAATACTGCTTGAGGACCATTCAATAATTGTACTCAATATGCATCACAAATGTTGCCGGGTATTGGAAACATGCAGGTCTCACAATCATCCAATACTTATGGACAATCGCCTGTGTAGAGATTACAGTACTCAACAGCCATTGGGGAGGCCCCTGGCCTCTTAGGTTCAAATCCTTGAGGAGTTGCAGAGTTTATAGTGATAACGTTGTTTGTGGTTCGCTCAAGCTTAACACACACAAACACACAAGTAAATTATGTGAAAAGGCTTTAAAGAACTCAAAGAAATAGATGTATAGGTGGTTCTGGATAATAAACTGTCACCCGTTTATTAATGGGCGAAGGAATTTTATCCATTATAAGGAGATCAAAATTAAGCCAATATGTTTTTCATTCAGATTTGAGAGTTTATTATTTTAATATTAATAAAAATTTATTATATATATACTGTATAATATATACAGTATATATATAATATATGTATGTATCAATAAGATGTATGTATCAATGAATGTAAGAATAATATCAATGATATATATGTATCAATATATGTAAGCACAATGTATCAATGAATTTAATACAAAATTGAGACAAAACTATATAATATGAATACAAAATTTCACTGAATGTAACATTTTTGGCTGTTATAAAATGGAAGCACACACTGCCACCACCACAACACACACACACACACACTGCCACCAGCACAACACACACACTTCACACTGCCACCACCACCACAACACACACACACTTCACATCACACCTCTGTACTCACCCACTGCAAATGCAAGGAATTGGAAAAGAACAGAATTAGTAACTGTTACTTTTGCCTTACATTAATATCATATCTAAGTCAACTTCCTGAGCAAAGGTTCAAGCTACACTATGACAAATCCAATTTATACATAATTCATTGGAAAAACATGTACTGTATTACTATAAATGAATCAAATAATATATGTAATAGTATCCACTTTATATATAGTCTTAATTTTTGTCAATTCAATAATCAGCAAACTGAACATATAAACCACATATATGATGAAAATATCTTCTAAATAGTCTAAATAGAGCAGTCTAAACACACACAATCTACTTTTATCTTGGTGTTTATGTACATAAATTAAAGCATATTTAAATGTAATATATCAGCAAAGACATATGCAGATGAAGAGTTACAATAACGTGGCTGAAAAAATGAGTCGTCTCTTCAATTTCTAGTGTGTGGTTTGGTCAACAAAGACATGCATTTTGCTCAATATATATTTTAGTGATTACTGCAGTCTAATTTATGTACCAATGCTTCAAGTAATTCCAGTTCAATATCCATTGCAACCTGCCATTCTGTTGTTCGATTTTCAAATTTTAATCCACAAGTTTGCCTCACAATTTTATCCAATGTAAGACCATTTTATAAATTAATAGTTCTTAGGCAGTATTGTATGATACTGTATGATTACACGATTAATATCTGATCCAATAAATAAAATGTACTTGTGTAATTGTAAAAAAACCTATACTTCAATTTCATGTTTAAATAATGTAGATACTGTATTGTAAAAGAAATTAGTTTTATCTTGATCATACATTAATCCTCTTACTCAATTCTTGCAAATTAATGTTTCACATTCAACTTTTGGATACATACGTAACTGAAAACTAACAATAAACTTTGCAAACTAATACTGTATAAACAATTGAATACTTACTACACAACTTTTTTCAAGAAATCTGTAGTGAAATAATGGTTACAAATGTTGCCAGCTGAGAATGTGAGCCTTCCATCAGGGTTTCGTTTTTGAGCTGTCTTTAGGGTAATTTCACTGTACTCCACTACTTGATAGATGCCATCAACCTTACATACCACACCTGAAGAAAAATTCATTATGCTTCTTTACAGTACTGTAGTATGCAAACCATAACAATATTATTGTATTCCTGGTAATGTACAGTTAATTTATAAGTTTTAAGACTTGGATGCAAATAAGGTTTGGAAAAATTTACCATTTATACAATAAACTACTTAAAAAATATAACACCTTACTTGCACTGGTGTATGAGGTTGTCCTTGCTCTTAACCCTAACTGCATTATGGTAAGATAAACGCAAAGTACAGAAAGAGCAATCTACCCCCTTTGAATGTCAGCCAGTTTGAACGTTGACTTTTACACGATCTTAACATATTAGCTCTGACACAAAAAAATTCTCGGACTAAAATACAAGGAGAGACTACATCTGGTAATATTTCTTATTTACTTTAAATCACACTCTTAAATGAGTTAAATATGACAGTTTTGCATTACTCAATAGTCAGTACTGAGATTTATTGTCATAAAAGACTTCAATAACCCAAAGGAATACAGTAAACAAGCTATTACTCACCAACTGCCTCAGTTGGGAAGGCCTTTTCTACAACTTTTGCTCCACAATTTGCTCCTTTAGAAAGGCAGTAGCCAATGAAGATTGGATCTGCCATCTTGACTAGAATGTTATCTACACAATACACATGAACGTATTTAATTCCTCGACGCTCCATATCTTCTAGCACATTCTTCTCCTGTATGCATATGGGCACAATGATTTTGTCACTCATTATAGAAAAACATTATTACTCTTGTAATTTATCTATAATCCACAAGGCTAAATGATAAAGATTATTACTATATGCCAATTGTATAAAATGATTTGTAAGTAAATAAACAGTTAAATGAAACAATATACTATATAGAGTATATATTTCACATTCTGTTGTTTATAGAAGGAAATATTATATAACATTTCACAGTACACTAAAGGAAAAAACACACTTTTCTTACCGAGCAACACTATAACGAGAAAATACTGACCCTGAGTGCTCTGTAGAGCCCACCATTGCCATCAGGTGCACGGGCCACCTTGTATGGCGACTCCAAGATAATCTTCCCATCAAAGGTAAAGCAAGGCAACATTCCCTGTTCAAACACCACCAGGTTCTCCTTCTCCAAACCAAAATAATGGTTACGAGCAAAGAAATCCATGGTGGGCTCCTTGGTATGCTCGGAGGTCATGATGTACCATGGAATGTTTCCACACTGAAACAATAGTCAAGAATTTTAGACACAACTCATACATATACACAAGAAAAGAAAGGAAATTGACAACATTTCCCTCTGTTCTGGACACTTATCAAGTCATGTGGATTATTTTCTGTCAAGAATTTCATCTATTAATTTCAGAACAAAAGTTTATCTACAGGAGAAACATTAATTTATGATTAAGGCAATAAATTTATAAAATTGTGTCATTTAAATGGTGGGATACCTTGCCATGCTTCTCCTTAGCAAGATGTTGAAGCCTCAGTATTCTTTCTGCCTGGAGCTGGTAAAGAGTCTTCGCAGATGGCAACTTAACATCATACATGCCTTTGGGATAGTCGACGCCAAGTCTAGTGCCCTGTCCACCTGCCAGCAGGAGCACTCCCACATGCCCTGCACTCACTTCACGCAGACCTAAAATACAGTGTAAAGAATTTACATTTCTTCCTGTTTGGAGTAGTGTTTAAATAATTTTCTCAATGCTTATAACTGCTTACTTTGATGTTCTCATTAAAAAATCTTAGGTAAATTATGTTATTTATTATTATTTTTCAAGATAGTTGTTGACCAGTCAATACTGACTGACGTTTTCACAATACAACTCCTTGCCCAACAGTAAATGGTCTGGCCATCTTGTGGCTCAGCTCAGTGATACATAAAATGTTTATCATCTTTTTTACACAAACCCCCAGAACACAAATGAATTACAATACCAAGTTTTGTCCCTCAACTGAATTACAGTACCAATTTCTGAGCAGGTCATTCTAACTGAAAGCAAAAGGTAAACAAAGTAAATTTGCAATAATAAACTGACCTGCCTCCTCATAATCAGTGATTTTCTCAAGTGGGGTACGCGTGACAGATCCATGCATCTCCGCTGGGATGGGCTGCATTCTTTCGTCAAGCTTCGTCTGCTCCTCATTGAGAGATACTACCGTTCTTTTGTAAAATCCACATACCTCATCGTAGTCCAACCTGTAGCATAGGTTGGATCCAGTACTAGCAAAAGCCTAGTTTTTCTTTAAACTACCATAAAACCCTACACAGAATGGTGGTTAAGATTAAATAATTTAATAGAATTCAAGAATTAAGTGACTGCTGTGAGGAATAGTATCCAAGAGGCCTGCAAGTTGCTGAAAGTAATAAGTATGTGTACAAAAAATCATCTACACTCAAAGATCTGATATTAATATCCAAGAATACAGTACACGGTTAGCCCCACCCATCTGTTTCTGAAATGACCTCTGTGGCTCTATCATAAAAACAGCACATTTGAAACAGGATTTACAAACTTAAATCAACAATAATTTGTACTAAAAACTAAGCCCTCAACATGTTATATTTATTATCTAATGTTTGCCTCTATTAATTTTAACATTTTTTTGTCGGTTTTTAACATTGGTAAGATACTTTTTATTTTCTACTTCTTTGTAAACTTCCTTCATTCAAAGGAAAAGCTTCAATTAGAGGTCATAGTTTATTAATCCAGTTTTGCATTAATTAGTTTTTCTTTCATTAATAATTCATTAATTTTGATCTTCAGACTCATTAAAGACCTTGTATGTTTTTTTTTGCCTGGTTTCTTCCATAGACCCCATGTATTGATGTTACATTCGGGGTCAAATGGAACTTTGTCTGAATTATGACCACTGTGTCAGATACAACTCTTGCTATATCTGTGACTCAAGCCTTGAGAATGATTGAGCTGCTGTGCAGAGTTTGATCATTGTTGTAATCTAACACAATTGTTATTCTCAACAATAGAAACCCCAATACAGTTCATACTTCACATCATTCATGAAATACATAACATGGACAAAGTTGTTTTATTCCCCCCCCCCCACCCCCTACCCTGCAGGTGGTCACATTTTCTTATATGGCAAGAGTTTTATGCCACATTTTCATTTCTGAAATGGACCTTCAATAACAAATGCTGACTGGAATATTTTAACCAAGAGATACATATTCTAATTCTTCTATTTTAACATAATGACTGTCAGCCTTTACTTGGTGTACTTCACTATTTTTTTTTTTTAATTAAAGAAGAGATTGGGTTTCTTTTCACTTGTCTGTAACAACCAATTTAAAATGTCTCTTCGTCGCTCTTCACTGCTCAACTGTATTGTTCACTGAGTACCTGAATTGTACCTCTATGGTACAATTGTACCTGAATAGACGACATATCCACTACAGCCCAGTTGGTCTGAAAATTTTTGCAGAAAATTGTCCATTTTTTCTCGAAAAATTTCACTTTTGTTCTGGCAATATAGTATTTCTTATAGCTGAACAACTGTGGACTTCTGATGTACATACAGTGTTCTCTGATTGTGCTTCCCTTTCCATCACCGCCCATTAAACCTATTTTTTGGTCCGTTTTTTTTATTCTATCTTGGTTTTACACATGATATGAATTAGAGAGAGGAGAGAGAGCAACATGGCCATTACCATGAGGCTAGCCAGGCAGGCAAACAAGGGATGGGACATACTCGTTGAGGTCATTGTAGAGCGTCCTCTTGTTGGCCTCGGTGAGCACGTCCCAGAACTGGAGGAGGTGTTCTTGGCCGTGGGCAGCCAGACGCTGACGCAGGTTCACCAAGTCCATCATTGTGATCTGTAACACAAAGACCTCGCGTTAGTCCTCTCTCACACACCCCTTCACCATCATGTTATCACCATTGTAACGGTTGTATTGTTACGTAAAGTATGGTGACAATAAACACAGACATTAAAAGAATATATATATATATACTTGGTACATAATTGTCCATGTAGCACGGGCTATGGTGAGCCCGTTTTTCCAGTTATTATTCGATTGATTGATTGATGAAGATTAAGCCACCCAAAAGGTGGCACGGGCATGAATAGCCCGTAAGTGGTGGCCCTTTTGAGCCATCTGTGGAGATCTGTGGAGGTGCGACTGCACCCTGCGTGACGGGAGATGTCTCCCGTGGTGAGACGAGAGAGAGAGAGAGAAGATTAAGCCACCCAAAAGGTCGCTTGGGCATGAATAGCCCATAAGTGGTGGCCCTTTTGAGCCATTTCCAGTATCAATAGATGATACTGGAGATCTGTGGAGGTGCGACTGCACCCTGCGTGACGGGAGATGTCTCCCGTGAGTTATTATTCACTACTCTGCTGCTTATATGCTCGTGCAACACCTCACCGTTCTCCAAAGGTTGGCAGGAATGTTAACTGGAAGTAGGGAAAGGTTTGGGTTCCATAATTAGTGCTAAGAATAGCTTTGCTTCTCTCGTTAGGCTAATGCGTTTGGAGCGAGTATATTATTGGGATAATCTACTGCCTACACCATGATGACTGATCGCTGTGAATCATGCCAAGTTACGAGACTATTGTGATATACATCATACTACCCCTGTTACGCATGACTTTACATGAAATTCTTGTGATATACGTGAATCATATCAAGTTAAACCTCCACTTTCTAACGTTGCGGTCAGAGAACGGGACCATCCTGATATTGAGAAACTATCGTAATAGGTCTACCCGGCCTATTTTACCACCTCACCCTAAGTAACGACCTCCACATAAGTATTTTAATATACGACCTTTTAATATAATACACATAATTGCGAAATGTTTATTTCTTGATGAGTAAAAGTGAGTGACGCGGCTAGAACAAATAACCCTGAACTATGAAAAATGAATTTAGGGGTCGCAGGAAATCTCTAGAAGAAAAGAAATAATAAAGTGTTGTAGGTTCCATTCCTGGAATACATGAGTGCCAGCTTGAGAGGTTGAGAGTGCGTGTTTGTGTGATGTTTCTTGGTTGACAGCTGGTTTTGTGGGGGCTGGCAGGCAGGTTGGTCGGGTTGCCGGCGGCGGCGCTACGTGTCTGACCTTGTCATCTTCAGATGAAAGTGAGACTACAGTTACATGTGGGTCACTCATGACCTTACTCCGGCCTCACCACTCACACCCTTACTTGCTCACTCGCCTCCCTTCCCATACTCATCTTCCTTACTTCTACCACCCCTATCTTCGTTATCTCCACGCAACCTCCCTCTCCCCCGTCAATCGTACCTTCCCCATCTCCCCTTCACCCCCTACCTTCCCAATCTTCCCGCCGATTGACTGATTGATAGAGATTAAGGCATCCAAGAGGTGGCACGGGCATATATAGCCCGTACGTGGAGGCTGTTTGGACACGGGGGAGACATCTTCCGTCACGCAGGATGCAGTTGCACCTCCACAGATCTCCAGTATCAGCTAATAATACTGGTAATGGCTTAAAAGGGCCACCACTTACGGGCTATTCATGCCCGTGCCACCTCTTGGGTGGCTTAATCTTTATCATCATCAATCGCTGTTTGGAGCCATTACCAGTAGCCGATATTGAAGACTGTGGATGGATGGGGTTTTCATGGTCGCCAGCAATTTATAGCCTGCAGGAGGCTTGGCTATTCAGGCAGGTGGCTCATGGATGGACGTGTTATCTCCTCTCCACTCCCCTTTCCCCACCAAGCTCTCCCTTCCCCATCTCCCGCCATCTCTACCTCCAGCATCTCACTGACCTTCACTCAACTCATGCAGTGTTGCCAATTTGGATGATCTAGATGATTTTTAACAAATTTGTAGCAGAACAGATATTTGCAAGTCTCCGAGCGTGCTATCTATCGTATGTTTATCTCGATTTTTTTACTGGTAGATTTGTTTTTTGTGTATAAAGCAAGTGACATCACTGCCTAGAGACAGTACGCAGGACTAGTACAGGACAGACAGCTGACTAACACCCAGGTACCTATTTTACTGCTAGGTAACAGGGGCATAGGGTGAAAAAAAACTCTGCCCATTGTTTCTCGCCGACGCCTGGGATCAAACCCACGACCACAGGATCACAAGACCAGCGTGCTGTCCACTCGGCCGACCGGCTACCTAGCTAGTTATCACAGCTATCAGACCTGACCACGAAACCCGTTCTCAGCAGCGTTTCCTATGCCAAGAAACCGTCGTACTAAAGTGTCAGGCCTAGACTACCAAAGGACCCATGAACAGAAAACGGATGGGAAGGAAAGTATCAAGGGGAAAGCGCCAAGCCATTACGACTATATAGCATTGGGAAGAGGTCAGGATAGGGATTTGGGATGGGACGGGTGGTAGGAATGGTGCCCAACCAGTTGGACGGTCAGGGGGATTGAACGCCGACCTACAAACAGAAAACGGAACATTATGCCAATTTCGGGACCCGGTATCATTTTCTTGTGTAAGTTTTTGGCCTTTTGTAATGTATGCGTCAACATGCGATGTGTTATTAGGAGGACGGCTTGATTACATGGGTCCTAAGATCTTACACCGAGCTCAATGCTCTAATACACACAAATTTTGATTATGTTTCTTGGAACTTTGTCGATAGAACTGTATCCGGAAAGGTATGTGACAGGCGCGGTTTTCCTCACAACAGAGAGAATAAATATTTATTCATGTATGTATATATACCAACGGAGGCACTCACACCAGCTGAGATTGTGCCTAGAGTTGGGGATTAGAAGCTTTTTAAGTTCATCTAATCATTCTAGCTCAAGTTCAAGTATGTTTATTGAAACAAGAAAAAAATACATCTCAAAGGGATACAGTATTTTAGGCTATTTCTACCTCTCCCACTACGTCAACTACTGACCTTCCCCCAGGGGGCAGCCCCCAACAGGTGCCTAGCTCCCGAGTACCTATTTACTGCTAGGTGGACATGGGCACCAGGTGTAAGAAAACGTGGCCAAGAGCCTTGGCCAACCTTGGAAGACAACTTGGCCACATCCGCTTGAGAACAATGCGCTTAATTCGGCGATGATAAGTTAACCAGATTATATTTCCGGTTCAAAATGACTATGTTCAGTTTCAACCTAGTATCGCTGAAGCTGTATTATGTACAAATTCTAATACTCAAATACAGCTGTAATGTTAAATACAACATTGTGGAGAATTAGTTGTGGTGAAAACCAAGCGTTACAAAAGAGAGTGGAGCGAGGTGTTGCTCTGGCACTAATGGCTGCCCACCAGCCGTGTTTGTATACTGATAACCAAGAGTTCAAACATCCGCACATCGTCAGGACAAATACTGGTGTGGATAAATACAGGATAAATACATCATAAACCGTCACTTAACACTTGCATCACCGCAATAATACCACCGTTATCCTCCTCACTATTTAAGGTAATGTCGGCAAGCGTAGCCTACTTAACCCAACACAACTTCCCATCAAATAATCTAAATCAATTAATATATAAAACAATCCGTGATACATTTCAAATACAAGACCAAGACACGCAACAGACGTCCCCACACGACACGGGGTCACGTGTAGGCTACATGTATGTACAGTGTGTGAGTGAATGTGTGAAGAGGACAAAGGAAAAACAGAAAAGTGCGAGCAGAGAATTGGCCGAGGGAATAATGATAAAGGGAGAGGAGAAGAGCAGGTGGGAAAGAGGAGAGAAACAGGCGAGAGGGGAGATAAACAGGTGAGAACGAAGAGAGAAACACGTGGGAGAGAGGAGGAACAGATGGAAGAGAAGAGGAACGAATGGGAGAGAAGAACTGGAGAACAGAAGTGCGAGAACAGAGGAATGCAAAGTGGAAGAGGAGAATAAGGGAAGAACAGGAATAAGAGACGAGGAAGGGATAACGGAGAGGAATAGCAAATAGAGATGAATAAGAGGAGTAGGAGAAAGTGAAGGAGTACATGTGGAGAGTGAGAGAGGGGGGGGGAAGAGGAAGGGGGGAGGGGTGGACGACACCGACGCGGGGAGGGGGAAGGAAGAGATAAGACCGCTTCAGTCTTGGGGGGTCATGACCTCCACACCTGAGGTCACTGACTGCTGGCCAAGGCGGCGGTGGAGGGGGAGACGGAGGAATAAGAGTGGAGGGAGAGAGGGTAAAAAAGAACTGATTTGAGGACTGGCAGAGAGTCAAACAAAGCAGAAACAGAGAGAAGGTTGCCTTAAGGGATGAGGGTAAAGGAAAGAGGGGATGACATGTAGAGAGGTAAGGGAGGTGAGCAAATTAGTTTGTTCTAGTTAGCAGTGTTGCCGCCTATGGCAAGTGTGTGAGAGGTGTAGGCTCAGGCGAGGGAGGTGTGTTGGGGAGTGAAGGTCCTGTGTGTGACAGTGTCAACCCTTCCCCCCCCCCCCCCCTCACCCCAGGTGGGGAGGGGGAGGGGGCGTTGACCGAATCGACTGTCCTCTAATGTGGTGTCTTGACACAGTCGACCCGTAGGCTAACAATTAAGTAGGAACTGCCAGGGGAGGGGGGAGGGGTCACTGAAGCCGTTCACTGCAGTGTTGTGGCACCAGGCTGCCCATACCCAGGTGCACCGTGGCGAACATACCAACCTTTCAACAAATAAATAAACAAATTTTTGTGCGAAGTGCTGGACTAATCCAAAGGGAATAAGACAAAATCTGGCCCCAGACCGGGCTTATGGAGTGGAAGAACTCTCAGAACCCACTCCAGTTATTGTGGTGGTGTAAGGCCGCTGGTGTCTGGTGCTCCCTGGCGGCGTGCTGGACACCATCTGGGGAGGGAGGAGGGGAGACGGGGGAGGGGAAGGGAAAATGGGAGGGGAGAAAGGAAAGGGAGGGGAGAAGGGGAGGAGAAAA